ACTGTAATGATCATTTGTATTATCGACCGGACGAATTGTTTTTACAATAAATTGATTGATTATTTAGTCTATTAATGAATTGAAAAAGCGGTCTAGCTCGCTAACGGAGAAGTGAAAAAAAAGAGGATGATTATAAAATAAAAACAGCAGGAATTATGTAAAAAAGAAGAGACTCACAATCCTTTATTCATGCAGAGGGACCTTATGATTTATGATTACCTTATTTAAGATTGTTTGGTTGCTTTTCCCTAAAAGAAAAAAGATGCCTGTCCTATCTGTGATGCAATGAAAATATTTGTTTCCTAACAAAATAAATGATAAAGTTATTGATGTATGTTTTAGTGCCATTTCAAGAGTTTTAAACATATTTTGATAATAACAATACTATTTTAGATTGCGATTGTGCTTTTATAATTTAATATGATATGCTTTATCATAGTATTGTATTCCATTATCTATACTTCATAGTATTGTTTTGTTATTGTATAGTGAGTCTACTGTATATTTCACATGCTGCTTATATATTAAATATAGCATATATTTGATGATATTATTTTAATATTGAATTTATCTTATATTTTTATCTCAGTGTATCGTATAATGCCCATCACAATCACAGCGTTAAGCCGCTAATGCTCACATTTCAGTATCAAGAACCAGTAAGTGACTCATAATTAATCAATTTCCAAATTGTTAGTTTAGTTTCAATTCGTATGATCAAACGCTGCACACAGATATTGACATCTTGACAACATTAAACAGAGTCGCAGCTTAACATTCCAGCTGCATAATGAAAGTTTCACTGTAAAACTCACATTCTGGATGCTGGTTTGCTGGGGGGGGGGGAGCGTATGTACTGTATGTCTTTGCCAAAGGGATGTACTCAACTAAGAGACCTCCTTTACTCTGCACATTAGAAGTTTGTGCCTCTGAGAAAGTACTAGTGAAGTTGTAGAGACAGGGTTGAGGTAGTTTAAAAGGCAGCAGGTAAACTGAGCTGAGCACCCACCTTTCAGAGATCAAACCCAGAGGAACAGCAGGTTGTGCTCTCCTTCAGGTGATCCAGGATATGTCACATCCTTTGCCAGCTCACATAGCCTGGATCTGTGTGTGCATGTGTGTGTGTGTGTGTGTGTGTGTGTGTGTGTGTGTTTATGGTAACCATTGCCCTTTGTGATCCATTTGTTTTTGTTTAGTTGTTAACTGTTTAGGGAAATTCCTCTGGATCACCCCTTCAGGCCAACTGACACGCGTACATACACCAAATTATAAACACACATGAACATGCACGTACATGACACACACATACACATACACACACACACACACACACACAGGCACACAGCCAAGCATCCAAAAACAAATACACATACTCACCCACACGTGTAAACACACAGCCAGATCTCCTCAGTGGCTCTTGATTGCTCTGGTCTGATTTGAATTAGAGGCTCATCTTTCTCAGATCTAAAAAATGGCTCTGAAGTTGAGCGGTTTGGTGGTTTGATGCTGATGCCAACATACAATTGGTTAAAGGCCTGCTTGGATGGCACAAGGGGGTTGGTGGGGATGTGCTTAGCTCCAACAATTGTGGTTTTGAACGTTTACAGAGGGAATGCTCTTGAATCACAAGATCGACATACTTTTAACCCATCGTGCTCCATTGGCAGCAAGAGTATAAATGAGAATACATAACAGACTACTGTACTGAAGAAGTGCTTCAGCTGACGATGATTGAACACATACTCAGTAAGCATGTGCAGGTGTGAAACAGATGTTGAGATACTTGATGTAGAATATGTATTTATTGCATATCTTTTACATGTACTTTTCCAGCAAGGGCAGCGAAACAGACTTTTGTCACACTTCCAAGGAGTTTGCACAACTGTGTGCTAGCGTAGCTAAATATGTGTTTCTCAGATGTAGTCATGATGTATTCTTCGTAAAATGGTTAGTTGTGTAGTCATGAACCTTACACTGAAGAAGACCATCCTTTTCTTTCCTGTAGTTTGCTTACGTTGGGCTCTCGTGTGGCTTTGATAATGACATAATTGCCCCCAAAAGCAGCTTCCACGGAATGGGACGAAAACAACATGGGAAAGCAGATGAGTACAACCGTTAAATGCCACCGAAAGCGCTTTTTGTTTGATATTTCTGATCTCGATATTTTCAAAAACCTGCCAACTGTCTTCTGTCATTAATGTCAATTGTTGCCCGCCAGCACATTGTGAAATATTACTTTTTTATGATCCATCCTCAATATTTTGATAAATGGATACCAGCTGCATAGAACAATGGACGTTTATAGGTAACTAATGAGCTAATTGATAACCGATTTTAGGGATATTTAAACAGAAAATCAAAAATACATGACTAAAGGTATGGCTGGCTGGCTTGCTGGGCCTTTGGCATATTACAAATATTGTCTTTTTTGCATACATCTTCTTTGAAACCTTTTTTAAGTGTAATTAATTAAAAGTAATTACAAAAAAAGTAAAATAATGACGGATGGGTGAATGGATGTGTGATAGACAGAGATGTACACTGCTTGCCAGTGACATGCACAACCTATACTACTCACGCACATCTCTAAAATAGACATTTGGCAGCGTTGAGGGCAAACGTTCTCACTAGTGGCTTTCATATCTGAAGCTGGCTGATTGAGACTAATGGATACAACATGGGCCTTAGGAATGGCTTCCACGTGCAAGAGACAAGCATGTGTGTGTGTGTGTGTGTGTGTGTGTGTGTGTGTTTGTGGAGAGAGCTGGTACTACATGTAGGAAGGTAACATTGGAGTATAAGTACATTTATATGTGAATGTGTGTATGTGTGTGTACAGGTATGTGTGTGTGGTTTGTGTACCATCATCTAATAGAACGGAGGAGCAGGAAGCACTTCCCATCCCTTCAGGCCCTGTTACGTCTCCTCCAACTTCACACGCACAGAGATCCCATTACACACAAAAATGCCCGCTAATAGACACACACACACGCACACACACACACACACACACACACACACACAAACTCATAAACTCATGGAAGTAAAGGCAAACACAAATCCTCCAATGCTCAAAACTGTTCCTCTTCATCAATGTTAGACCACCTTACATAACCAAGTGATTCATACCAGAGGCTTTGATATACTTTGTTTTCTAAGAAAATAAAGATAGTGTTGCTTCAGACAGGCCAAGGGGGTTTATAGCCTCATCCTGTTTTGGTTCTGGGTTCACTGCTTCAACAATATACGACATTACAATCATTAATATTAACAGTGCATATTAAGCACACAAACCACTACTGTATAAGGGAGTTCACTGGAAACATGTGGCGAGGCTTCACTATATCACCGTCATTGACTTAGTCTGACGTAACTTACTGGTAGTAAGTCGTTGTGACAATAAGTGAACAAAACATACAGCTGTCATCCGTTTAATAAAAATCGTGATAAGTATTCTGGGGGATTTATTTAGTTCTTCTAAAGTAGGTTTAGTATATATTTTCTTCCGTGTTAAAACGTAACATTATAACCAGTAAAACTCATGCCCATCTCACAGAGTCAAATGTTTTTGACTTTTTTTGTTTCTGTGTGTTTGTGTTTTACAGGGAAATCAAAAAAATCTAAAATTGTAGCTGCAACTGACACAACATCTCAATACAGTGTGAGAATGTTGTCATTTGTATATAGGAAAGACCCTAACTATTAATATATTGCTCAGCCCTAGAATGTTGAATATGTGTGATATCTTAGTAAATAGGAACTAAACTGATTCTCTTTTCAGTAGTTAAACTAAGTTAATTTAAAGCGCAGTTGTGAGTGAAATGTGTGCAATGGCATTTCAGCTTCATTTAAAGAGACAGCTCTGCCACGTGGATTCATTTGTTCTTGCATTCTGAGATCAGCTGATGATCAGCTTACCTTGGTGGTACTAAAGACTAAATAAGTAAAGCAAAGTGTTTCAATCCATATGATGAATACTGTACAGTGGTTATGTTTGGACAAACACTATACCAGAACCAGATAACTGGATACTCATCTCATTCCCAGAAATCATTTTTTCGTTTTTAAGTTTTGCCTCTTTTCTTTCACTTCACACAAAGCACTCTGTCTACAGCTGAGCTACCTTTGCATAGACATTATACAGCTGTATTTAGCTGTAAAAGTGGGAATTAATCTATGGAGTTATGCCAAATATGTGAAGGAATTTATTTGTAAGAGTGAATAGAGAACCTGAACTGGAGGCGAAGAGTACGAGAGGCAGGGGACAGGAAAGAGAGGACAGATAGAGAAGTGAGCGAGAGTGGATAGAGTAAATAAACATAGCCGGGAAGTGTTGAGTCCACGCACAGGACGAGGTTTGGTTTGTGTGTGTCTGTGTGTGTGTGTGTGTGTGTGTGTGTTTATCAAACCCAGCTGGCTCCCATTTGCCCAGGAATGAGTCTGCACCTCTCAGAGGCCCAAGCCTGCCCTGCTTTGAAGACCTGTGTAGTGTGTATGTATGTATGTATGTACATGTGTGCATAATAACAGCTTCATTAGAGCTCTGCATTGTACCGGTGAACACATTACACAACCAGACATGTATTTACTGTATGTATATTATGTGTACGTTCTCTCATGTGTTCGTTTTGAACACACATACATCCACTCTCAGTCATCGCCGCACCCACACAGATTTCAGCTTTCACAAGCATACACATAGACCCCTAAACAGTCCCAAGGGGTTGGATTTAACTGCTTCCAGATGCAAGTTCAGGACAGAGCGCACACATACAGACAAAATCTTCTGCTTTGTTGAAGTCAGCAGAACCACTCTGTTTAAATTAATTAAGTGCTAGTGGATGGGAAATGACATGGGAGTAGACAGGTTTACTACAAGTGGGAAAACAGCTTGCTGCTGGTACCTGATAATATCATCAAGGAAAGCAGCTACTCACTCAGGATGGTCTTACGGAAAACTGTTTTTTAATTGTATATGTAATTGTGTTGTGTTTTTTTAGATGTGGCCCACACCTATACTGAGCCCCTCATATTGAGGTTGAATGGCACCCCAGAAAGGTTGCAAGGCGATGATGGAGACAAGTGGAGCAGAATCCTCTCACACTCTGAGCTTACAACACCCAGCAAGAGCATCACATGTGAGTAAATAGCACCCTCACACACACACACACACACACACATATGGAGACACACACTTGGCGAAGCTGGTAAGAGTTTTGTTTCCATTACCGATCACTGGTCTGTCCTGACCTTAAACAAATACATTTGTACACCCTGAAGAAAGGTCAGGTAATCATACACACAGAGAGAAACATTTACATTGTCAGGTAAGTAGGTTAAGTTTCTGATTTCTGAACACAAGCACCCAAATATTCAAACTTGAAATGAAACATATTTCCTCCTCTTTTGCTCTTTATTCTGCATTGTGTTCTCTGTCTGGCTGGCACTGTGGAATTTACTTATTTAGGGTTCATTGGACATCTTTTTCCATCTATATTCTAAGAAACGGTAGATGAGTACAGCACGTGCTTCTCATAAAAATCTTATTTTTCGAGCACAGCCATTCCTTATCCATGATATCCACCCACATTCATGTTACTAGTGTCATTTTGCTCTGGGGCCTAGAGGTTTAAGATGGCAACTAAGTTATCACAACATCCTTGATTCTAGTCAAATCGGGGCCTGTTGTCACACGTCATCCATACCTCTCACTCCTCATTTTCTGTCACCTCTCTACTGTATATGAATAAAATGAAGGAGAAATTATAAAGATAATGGAAAGAATGCCTGAAAAAATACATCCCTGCAATTCGTCCCTCTCCGTTTATTCGAATAGCTCACCACTCAACTCTTTAACCCACGACAGTCTTATTGGAAATGCCGTTTGTTAAAGGTTGCTTTAAACGAATATGTTAAACAAACATCACTATTACATCATTCTGTAAAACAATTACAATCCCTGTCTAGACATATGAACTAAACCACACAACATACATTTAAGGATGTTTTTTTGGGCTGAGTTTTTTTGGGCTTTTCATTTGCATTATAAAAAATGTCGGTGAGTTTTATTGAGTTTTTCTTTCTTCTGTGACAGAAACCAGAAGTTGTGCGCTCTATTCTTTCATCTGTGATGCTGTTTTCTGACCAATCCTCTCCAAAAACATTTCCAATTGCTTTAAGAAATTGCTACTGTAGTTGGCTGTTGTATTGAAGTAAGTACTGTATTGAAATTGCTGTGTCTCAAATTGTGTGTGTGTTATTTACATTCAGCTGTCCAAGTCTAAACTACTTACCAAAATCCCCAGCTGTCCAGTCATTACACTCCACCCTAATTTGCTGGCGAGGACCGTCACAACACCTGGAAGTTCTCCTTCCAGAGTCATATCACTAACCGCCACCACCCATTTCACTCCCTCATATTACTAGTCCCACGGTTATGTTTCAGCCAGAGAGACTCTCTTTCACTCTCTTTGACGTGCAGTTGCTCCAACTCTCTGTAGCAAAGCCAAAGGTTACGCAAGTACGCTATGTCTTTACCCCACCACATATATTTTCCTTGCTTTCATTCCAGTTTGAAATGAGTAGAATCTCAACCTAATTTTCGAACTGGTTCTACTATGTCATTTATTCACTTAGATGACCGAGCTTCGCAATAATAAACACCCACAAACCTTTAGCTAAGTTGTCTGGATGCTTGGCCACTGTTAAGAAAATCTCCATGCCATACAGTGGTCTAAATGTGCTCTTCCTGTCATTCACAGAAAAGGAGGGGTAGTGTAAGTGAATGACAGGAGGAAAAGAGCGTTGAGAAGAGAGTTGAGTAACCTGTAATCTGAGCAAATGTTATAAAACTACAAGCTTTTTTTCCTGGACTCCAGGCCCTGCCATGGGTGACATTCACAAACACACAAACCTGCCCCATGGTAATAGCTAGTTTGCAGTAACTGAATAACCAGCAGTTCAGTCAGGAAATGAATAAGTAGGTGAATTCAGTGTGTTTTGAGTAGGTGTGTGAGTGTACGCTGTCTCTGTCTGTGTTTGTTCCTCTACCTGTTCTGTATGCTGTGTTTGTCTACTTCAGGCCCAAGCTGAAATTTGATTTTCTGTCTGCCGTTCTCTCCCTGCCTTATTTTACATCCCAATAAAACCTATGAAACCCACCAGCTCCATGTGCTGTGCAGAGAGGGTTATGCAACTACAGCAGGCTTGGACAAAATGTACCGCCATGAACACCAGTCCTCACTGGCTTTCCATTTGCCTTCATGTGCCTCCTCCCTTCATCCACAGCGTCCTCCTTCTACAACTTACACAATCACACATGCGTTCACAGGACTTGAACCATGAAGTAAACAGTGAAAGTTCTAAACTTTCTCAGGTGAATATGCAGCATATTCCTGCTCGTCTCCATAGTTATATGTTTGTCTCTGCATTTTTGCGTGTGTGAGTTGCTTTGTGTCTTCTGTGAATCTCACAAGCCACTATCAGTCTGAATGCAGTTTACATACGTTCTGTGTCATCAGCAACCAATCAATCAATCATCAATCTGTTCCCCTGGCTTGATGATCTGCGTGAAGATGTTACAAAATAGCTGTGAGGCAAGTCTGTGGTGAGGTCATGGGTGTGTGCGTGACACATGTGCATGTGTGTGTGCGAGTGAGAGGGTGAGGAAACAGAAGCAAAAACAGAAAATCGCCTCATTCTCTGTCTCGCAGTGATGACATCAGAGCTATAGTATGTGTCTGGCCCTGGGCCTGTGACAAGCTGTCTGAGAACAATGTGCACGGAGAGGTGTTAACAGATGTGAGTGTGTGTGTTATGACCTGAGTCAAACACACACACACACACACACACTCCCTGACAGTGATGTCATGAATCCTCTGTCGTCTTTGACGTCACAGTCACACATGTTCACAGATGTTTAACTGCTCACACGCTTTTGGACTCGCAAGAAACCAATGAAGCATGTAATTCATCACTGACAAGATCACAGTAGCATTTATGACACTTGCACTTCAATTTGAAATATCCTCACTAAATGAGATCTTAACATGGACCAGAGAGAAGACAGTCCTTTATTCAGCGAATGAGGACATGGACGTGTGTGCAAGCGGAATGCTGTTTGTTATTATCTTGTCGTGAAAGGGGAGGAGTGTGCAGTGTGTTGTTGGTGGAAAATCTAACAGGACTGTGATATCGCCTTTAATTAGAGACCAGTCACTGTGCTGAAACTGTTTTCCATTTCTGGGGTCAATTGTGAATGAGGTGGTTGGTTGATGTCTCAGGTCAAAGATTAGTGATGCTGTGTTGTTCTCGCAAATCCGCTGTTTATTTCCTCTTTTATTCAACATATAGGCCGAACCCTCTTCTTGAAATATTTTCATACTTTTTCCATTCATTTTTAAGGAGAAGTTCACGGAAGTGAGTCAAATGTTGCAAAAAAATTGGAATTTAGGTGCTTTTCCAACCGCTGGATTAAAGGGAATAGATAATGTTTCTGAATGTCTAAAAACCACAAGAATTTTTCCAGAATTTCTGGGTATTGGGCCCGTTGTTGTTCTGCATCGGCTAATGTCATATTTCATGTTTTCATACAAACACAGAAACAAAAAAATGTACTTTCAAAACAAAAGACTAATGCCCATGCACAGCTGTGTTTTTTCTGCGATATATTCCGCAAACATGTGCAAAGACTAACACATCAGGAAACGTCGACCCTTTGAATTCTGAGCTGGTTTAATCATATTTAGGCTATTCGATGTAAACACTTTACAGGGGAATGTAATGTGCATATTATGCTATCAATTTGTGGTTTATACACCTTCCATTTAAAGGTTAATTCAGTTAGTTTTAGTGTCGGGTTGTTTGCAATTATGAGGATCGATTGGGTTCAAAATGTCCTCAAATACTTAACGTTTGGATTTTGTCTCTCCACTTTGCTAGAAGTACAGCTCTCTAGTACATCCTCAGGGGCCAAAACAGCCGATTGTAACATGCTCAATGTTAGGCTCACAATGAAATCAGATCTGCCTATTGTACCTCTGTCTTTAGTTGTATGGGTTGCATAAAGCTTGCTTATTGTAATGCACCATATGCGCATCGTATTGTATGTTCTGTCAGTATGAACTGCTCATTACAGATAAGGTGTGGGATTTTTTTGCAGGCTTTGGTATCTTTAACCTGGCAGCACAAATAACACAAACGCATACAGTAAACGTAGCACCACTGACGACTGTAGTTCATTAAGATCACATGGACATTATAAATGTTGTATACTCTCTAAAACGTTGTAGTCTTCATTTGAATGATGGGATATTGTGAGTCACAATTTTGTCTTGCTCACACCTAATTTTGAAGTGTCAGTCTAGCACATCTGACTGAACTCTGCGCTCATACTACTTTTTCAATGTAGTGAGTTCAACTAAACAAACCTCATTAACGCTGTAGTGTTGGTTGGAGCGCTGTATACATGTAGCAGCTAAAAATGTGGGAAAATCGAATTGAAAATGGTTTTAAATAACATTATACAGCAGCAACGTATCATTTTCCCATTCTCACTGTTTTAGTAGTTGACACTTTTGGCCCACAAATAAAAACAACGCTGCTCTCACAGAAGGGAGTCAGTGGGTGAGAGGTTTCTGGGAGACCGGGCTGACAACATGTTTTCAAGGCACTTTAAAATGGTAAGAGGATTTTGAAATATGCAAATATTGTGAAAGTACGCCAATCAAGCCAAGCCTACGTCATCATTAATGGCATATATCCTCAGTGACTAAACAATTACACTGCAGAAAATCAGAATTTGCTTCAGTGTTGAGAGTGAGTAGGAAATATTTGATTGAACAGCCAGATACTTTGCCTCTGTTGTGCTTAATAAGGCAAAAAAGCAATAAAAGCCTGTATGTGCATTTTTGTAAAGTTTTAGATTTGTGGATGATTGCACCATCAATCCTTTTTCTCTGTGTTCTTTGCTGATTAAGTACAAATTTGATGTTTCTGCTTTTTTTTTTGACTGATCTCATAGTCTATAGTCTATAGTTTAGACATTTTAACACTTTGACCTACATAGGCAGACAAACTGCACCAGAGGAGACGGTAGGATAAAGCAGCTGGAATAGAGACAGAGTTCATAGTCATTCTGGTGACTCATTCCAGCAGAGGATAAGAGAGAGAGAGAGAGACAGACAGACAGATCTCTGGTCTGGGAGGGAGGTGTGTAAGTACAGGGTATCTGAGAGACGCAAAGGAGAGAAAGAAGAGGTCTGGAGGGTGTGTGAATGAGGATGTGTGCGATCTTGCATTCAACTGATGGTGACTCATTCAGGCTCGCTCACCAGCTCAACACATCTGCACAGACCTCCATGTACATACACACACCTTAGAGGTCGCAGCACCCCCAGTGGCCAACGCTGCTGGTTAGCGTCACACATGCACGCTCTGCGGTTTCCCAGTCTCATCATGTTAATCACACAGTCATTTGGCTCTTTATTTGCTGTTATTTTTAACTAGCTCCCACTGCTGAATCATTGTGTTTATGAGTCACACCCATGCTTCCTCCTGGTCCAAATATGCACAAGCAGCAACCCATTTCTTCAACTTTGTTTTCTCTCTTTCTCACTCAATCTTTCTCCCTTAGCCTGCTTTCTTGATCTCAGACAAAGGGACCTTGTGTTTTTTCAGTGTGTGTGCATGTGCATGAGTGTGTGTCCGCACGTGTCCTTGCATGCATATATTTGTGTGTGAGTGGGCCTAACCTCAAGCTCTGTTTGGAGACAGTCCTGACTCCCCGTCTCTCTCTGTCTGTCTGTCTGTTTGCCTGCCAGATCCGCCTATGTACTGTGTTCATACACACACACACACACACACACACACACACAAGAAGTATGAATTTGAATCACAATCCCCTGGACAATACAGACCAAGAGGGAATATTAAGAAATTGTGCACAGTTTCCCTCCCCTCTCTCTAATCCCCTTCTTCTCTTCCGACCTATATCCTGGCCAGCTCAGAGTGTTAAAATACAGTATTGTGCAAAAGGCTAAAAGAGAGCAATAAGACAGAGAGACAGAAAAAGAGGAGATGAATTTAGTAAAAGAGAAAGGGAGGGAGACATAACACAGGAGAGCATTAGGTATTGACTTTTGACATACTTTAGCGGAGAAAGCATTACACACTAATGCACATGAACACGCACACACTGGCCCTGCAGCCTGCCAAACATCTGGAGCAACGTTAGAAAACGCTGAATGAAAGAATCTTTAATAACACTGGATTGGTTGTGTGACCACGGCTATCGGCCAATCAAAACAGGCCTGGATGGGTTATCTGTCTCCGAGTGGTTATCGAACGGACGCTTTTATTGCCAGTCGTGTTTCACAGCCAGAGCTCAGGACCACTCTGTTGTGCTCTCCCCTGCCCAGTTAATTCTCACCACACCTCTTGACACCAGATGCTTTCAAGTCAAGAAAATATGTTAGGGTGGTATTAAATACTACAATAATATATATAAACCAGGCGTCCATTTTATTCTTCTTTTCAAGGTGTGTGTTTTGTTTGGCAGCGAAGGTGTGCTTTTCTGCCTCCATCTGTCTTGCTGAATAGTACTCGATTAGAGGTCAAATATACCAAGTGGTATATTGAGCCAAGATTAAAAACTGTGCATGCTCTCAGGGGTTTATGTTTGTAGATACTATATATGTTGTATCAAAACTGCATTCTTCCAAAAACCCAGGTATTGAAATGATGGGCTCTTCCCTAGACAAGCATTTCTGTCTTCCTCTCTTACACTCATTTCATTGATTGCGTTTTTTTTCTCCCGTTGTATCTTTATAGTTACGCAAGAGTCTAGACAAGTATAGAGCAGTGGTCAGTTCAGTAAATACGGAGCTCTTCCTAGAGCTATTGCCTTTGGGGTGAGCTTTATAATTGCTGCATCAGCACAAGTCTGCATGCACACACACTGAGGGGGGGCATCGGCCCTGCCTCAGAGCTGTACAGTGATGCGCTGCATTATCCACACATGTTGGCAAGCCTGCTCAAGCACTTACAACAATGCTCACATGCTTTAAATGGACGTTGACACTACTGTTGTTCACTGTAATTGTTCCTCCTGTCCATACAGGTGAAATCGGTAAAATCCACAGTCCACTATTTCTGTTTAAAGATGTGTTCCATAGTGCAGCCAAAGCTAACATCTGCAGTCTGATTTCGACAAATCAAGCAGATATCTTCCATAGTGACCGTCTTTCAGTCTGTCCCTACACTGCGCTCAGGAAGGGCTTTGGTAGTAGGAAGACATTCACTTTGGATGATACCCATTTGATTTGACTCACTCAGACGGCTGAGGCTTCATTTTGGCTTCAGCTGAACTTCAGAATACATTTTTTTCACAAAAAGAGGACTGCAGGTTTTGTCAGCCATGTAAATTGAAATTGCTTTTGAAAGGGGATTTCTTATTAAAGCAACCAACAGTGCTTTCAGTGTATATATTGTATATATATATATAAACTGAATTTATTTGTATTAATTTTGAAAATGCTTATTGTCCACAGCTTATTGTAAATGGATGTCCTTTTGTACCTCTCCAGCTCAACCAGCAGCCAGATCCACGCCCAGCCACCATACCCAGCCATGTCGGACACAGCCCAGCAGCAAACTACGCAACGGAGCCAAGCACCACACACACTCCTCTCACACGCACTGTACGCATCACACGCACACGCACACGCCTCACACGCACACCCTCCGGTCCAACGGGGTCAGGAACGGAGGCCCTCGTGAGCATCCTAAGCTCAGTTCCCTCCCGAGAGGCGGCTCATCCACCTCCTCGTCCTCTTCAGCGGGACCCAAACACACCAAGAAATTGCGGTCCAACCCCTCCATCACCTCCCAGAGCAGCAAGAGAAGCAAGAGCAGCTCCAAGAGCAACAACTCTCAGCTTCCCACAGAATCACAGGACGGTGAGATGCAGAAACCGACGGAGGGGCTGGAGGCAGCAGGAGAGGGAGGGATAGGTAGCATGGTTCAACATTAAAGTTTTATTCCACATGTCTCGTCAGAGGATCAGGATAGAGATAAAAAATGATTTATTTTTTTGTAATTCAAAAAAGAAAAAGAAATGTAATTAGCATTGATGGACATATTGCAAAAGCAGCAACTTATGGTTCAGTTGAAGAGTGTATTTTAACCCTCTCAACATTATATTTATGAATCTTTACGAACTGTAAATGCCAACTGAAAAAATATGAATCAAAAAACAAAAGAGAAATTCATCAGGATGGAAAAAATCTAAATATGTTAACCTTGCCATTCCTTCAACCATTCCTGGTTTGGAATGCAGGTTCGTTCATCCACCTCTTATCATGGCTTGAGTGGTTATATAAACTTGTTTTATCTTTGAAAGTAAGTAGGCTAGATTCATGGCTGCAAATAGTTGAAAGTTATCATTTACAACTCAAGGTAACTGTTATATGGTGAAAGGGGCCACCTTTTCTTTTCACTAATACTTAAAAGTGCCGACTGGCATGTCTTCTACATGACTAATACTGAGAGCTCAACAAAGAAGAGGGTGGTTCTGTGGTGGAGCTGAGAAGTAAAGATAACAGGCTTATTACCACCTGAAATGTTTTATTCCCTATTAAATGCCATCGGGACTGGACGTCCTTACACTCTGGCCTGGCACTGAAGAAAACTAATCATGTTTCATGATTTCTGACCTATCACAGTGACTGCATTGACAAACTATTTCTGACAAACTCAGTTTCATTTTTTTTTTTCAATTTGCTTTATTGCCATGACATGTAAATTCGTGTATGTATCCAAAGCATATAGAGAAGGGAAATATTGCATAAAGGAGAAAAAGAAAAACAGATTAGAATACAAAATGGTTACAGAATATAATCAGGAATTGTTCATGTTAAGAAAGTCACTCTCTCTCTCTCTCTCTCTCTCTCTCTCTCTCTCTCTCTCTCTCTCTGTCTCTCTCTCTCCAGACTGCTGTGTTCACTGTATTCTGGCCTGCCTCTTTTGTGAGTTCCTAACTCTGTGTAACATCGTCCTGGACTGCGCCACCTGCGGCTCCTGCGCGGGGGACGACTCGTGTTTCTGCTGCTGCTGTGCGTCGGAGGAGTGTGGCGACTGTGACCTACCCTGTGACATGGACTGTGGCATCATTGATGCCTGCTGTGAGTCTGCAGACTGCCTTGAGATCTGCATGGAGTGCTGCAGCCTTTGCTTCTCCTCCTGAGGGCCCCAACCACCACCACAGGGGGGGGGGGCAAAGTAGATGTCAGCTACACACTCCCACAAGCCCAGGAACAACTTTGACCCGTGTCTTATCAGAGCTGAGAAGTGCTTCATCCAGCCTTGGTTTACACTATATTGCCTGGCCTAGTTGGCTCCACGATATGTCCAATGTTTCTTACAAGGTTTGCCAGGCAAAAGATGCTGAGAGCAGTCACTGGTGAATTCGTCCCTCTTTTATTGATCAAACGACAGGACAGAAGCTTCCCTGCTTTGTCTTTGCTGTCAGTCCATTGCTGCACAGCTGGATGTATGGGGCAGAGTGAGTTCCAGCTGTGGTCTACGAGTGTCTGCCAGGCTGTGCGGACCGGGCCTTTGGACCCTCACAGAACGAGCTATTAATACAATGGAGCCCCTTGTGCCATCTGAGTGACTGGAGTTCTTCAAGCATGAAAAATGACCTCCAAAGGCAAATGAGAGAATGGCTCCAGTTAACCGGATTTTAGTGTTTCTGTAGATAAGAACGGCAGCATAATGGGAAAATGGACGCTCAGATCTCAGTAGAAATGTAGTCTGTCCTCCTGTCCTTGGCAAGGTTAAAGTCTTCCAGTTTGATTGCATACAGTGGCCTTTGTGACACACACACCCTTACGGGACGATGTTGAATCCACCGCTTGTTCTTGTTGCAACGTAGAGGAAACATTAATGGTGGCTTGTGGCAATATTACAATATTTCTTTTGTTCATATGATCTCACTTAACAGACTTATTCAGAGAAAAATCATGAGAGCGTCGTGCATCAGCCTGAAGATGGGTCCAATTCTATAAGTACTGTAGGTGGCGGACATCAGAGTGAATGGTTGATAGCATCTGTCTTGGACACATTCTCTACTCTTAACATGTGAAGGGAGAGAGTTCTTAATCAAAGGTCTCTCCTCGTTTAATGTTTCACATCTTGTTGACTTTTACATTGTTTATTTTGAGGGGCTTCGGCTGTATTCAGTGAATTCCTCCTCGTCTGAATCGTCAGAGCTGGTGACGGACTGGTAGAGGATTGGAAGTCATCATCTCTTTTTTAATACGTTTCATTTCTCTTTGTCGTTCTTGCTATGTGAACAAATGGCCTTGGCTTAGCTTAAGGCCTGAATTTTCAAGTAGATTCCTCGCCTTTACCAAATCTCTATTAATCCTTGTTTTGTAGATTTTAGTTAAGATATTTGCATTTCTCCTCTAATGTGAAAATCACATTTCTGTGTTATCGGGTTTCGCCGGGCTCTCTGTAAAGCAGACATTGCTCAACATCTAATTTAATTCCTTGAGTGAAAATCTCACGACACTACGCTAAGATAGATCCATATGCTCGTAGTGTGAATGGTACGCTTTTGATAACAGGACCGCACTCTCGTATGCTCAGATGCATACCTTCTCCAACCCAATACCTCTTGAGATGACACCTAGATCTGTTGTGCATTTTAAAATTACTTGATACAAATCTCTCTCCTCTCTGATCCAATACTGTTTGTGCAATCCCTTTTCTCTTGGAAATACCAAAGAGTTTTTTCCTCTTACTGGACTTTAGTTTCTAGACCTACAATTACTTTTACTTTAAAGGGTCTTTGCTTTGCTTATGTGGCTGTGGTTGATTAAACCCTATTTTAAGGGCTGAACTATAACACTGTTGATATGAATATACACTAAGGCTGTAAATTAACCTGATAACACCGAAACAGGAAAAGCAAGTTTTCAGAAAACAACAAATGCAACTTGAGAAGATATTATGACTCTTTATGTCAGTTTATATCAGAGTGGACGTGTTTCAAGTGTTGACACATGTTCAAAACTAAACTGAGACAAAATCCTGGAGAGCCCTGGAAAACGATGCAATTTTTTTTACAGTATAAAGAGATTTATGAAGGGAGAACTGGACTTTATAATGTTGTGTATTGACGGGATAACAATGTCATCTGTTTAGATTTACAACATATTCCAAGTGCAGATTTTGACAGCGTTGCTTCATCGAAGGACACGTTCTCTGTCATCAGACCAGGCTTGTCACAAAAAGGAATATGGGTGGACTGTGATACATTTCTGGGGGGGTTGCTAGTTTGAAACCAAAATAAAAAGAAGAAGAACAACCCCTTATTAGTCCCACAGTGGGGACATTTATCCTCTGCATTTAACCCATCCCTAGTATACAGGGAGCAGTGGGCTGCCCCTGAGGAGCGCCCGGGGAGCAGTGTCTTGCTCAGGGACACTTCGCCACAGGACATGTCGTAGCCAAGGATCGAACCGCCAACCTTGCGGTTACCGGACGACCCTCTCTACCCCATGAGCCACGGTTGCCCAAAACGCTGGTTTGTTAACAGCAGAACTTAATCGTTACAAATAAGAAAAATGACCCCTACAAATGTTAGTTAGCTACAGAGCCCACAAGCTAACTGGCCTCCACTGTTAGCCGGCAGTGGTGTGATAAACAGTTCACCTTGATTTCATGCAAACCACTTTGTTAAGGCGAGCAGAAATATGAATATATATATTAGCAAATGTTTCCTACCTGCTAATTCTTTCAACTAAAACAATTGGTTCACTGTTTATTTACTCAACCCAACTGAAATGATGTTTCCTATCATTTATGAGACGCTCACTCAAGTTCAAGTCTCAGGATTATTATTCTGCCGCTTCTCACTGGACTCAAACACAGTCCAAAGAGGCAATCTTCAAAAAACAAAATGAATGGAATGGAAAGCTCACTGACAGGCTTTTATGTGGTCTGTTGCTTTCTGGTATGTTGAATTGATTTGAGGTTTCTAATACAGATGTAACTGAAGAAATAAAGTGAACAAAAACCTACCTGTGAGAGACAGCATGACTTGCAACTCTCTTTTTGGTAGTAGCACATATATACATGTCTGACCGTCCTGTGAGGTTCACCTGGGTCTTTCAACAGGTGCTGTTGGACTGTAAAGCAGTCAGAGGGGTAGCAGAGGTGTAAGTCTGTCAATACCGCCGCTAGTTTGTGCCACGCAATATAAATCACGTGAAACAACATTTTAATATGGTCTGGGTTGAAAAACAGTGAACACATCATTTGAGTTTTATTTAATGATGTTGGAATAATATTTTATGACTTGATCATTAAATACTACTTCATGTCTATACACAGAAGTGCCTAACACTTTGTGGAGAATGGAGGCAGTCTGGAGGGATAGAAAACACTGCTTGGTTGGTCTGGAGATGGAGAACGCTGGCTTGAGGTAGAAAATCCCCAGTTGAATGACTTTCTTACATTTAGGTCATTCTCTGGATTGTGGAGATGGTTTGGAGATATGGATTTGATATAGTGTCTGTACCAGACTGGTCATCGTATAATCTCCAATTATTTCTCTTGAACTCAGTCAAGCTCTTATAGAAATACTGGAAGAAAACAAGTTTACTCTCAGTGTTGTCCACACAGTATTATCAGTATTTTTGTTAGAATTACCTTGACCACAGAAACTTCTAACTGTTGATTTTTATGGATTGATTATCTTATTATGAGATGTAATTTGGAGATTGATTTAAAGGGCTGGCCACCTCTGCTAGTACTCTGAACGTTATCCGAGCCCAGCTGAATTGTAACTAGACTCTAGTCCACTATAATGTCATTTTGTTTACACTATCCCCATTTTATGTCAATTTCAATTGCTGTGCTGGAAGTCACATTAAAATCTCTTAGTTTAATACTGAATAAACAATGTGAACTCCAGGCTACATGTATCGTTCTTTCTTCATTTTCACATATATAGGCTCCAAGCTTATTACATTATGGACTTATTACATTATGGTTATATAAATACTCTTGTTGTACTGTAGTCTAGCGTCTTAAAACAATGTCCACGTAGCAATTCTATGAAATGAATCTAATAACAACTAAAAATTGCTTATACATCACCTGGACAGTATTGAATTACCAAAATTCCAGATGCAGCTTAAACTTTATTTCATACATTTGACCTTCCGACTTGCACTGCTTGGCAAACTTACATAACTATTAAGAAGGCAAGAAATGTATCCATTACAAATACACTATCTGAAAATGATTACCACTCATCATAACTTTCTTCTCAAATTCATGTACGTCTTCTATGTTTTCTGTGTGCATAAATTCAAATGTGTTTAAAAACCAATGGTGAGCTAGAGAGATCAGTTTTCATGGCTGCTCCTTACTTGGCCTTTCTTTACCCTCGTACATGAAATATGCTTTGCACTTGATTTAAGTTTGGGCAAAATGTCTTAAACTATAGAAGCGTCTCACTCCTCTCTGATGCATATATATTCATTCTTCAATTCAGAGTTGAGCAAAGGAAATTCTATCCAGGACTTGTCTTTACTTCCTGGATAGAATTGCTCTTCCACAAACCAGTTCGTTACAATGGAGAAGAAGTATTCAAATAATCTGCTTCAGTAAATATAGTGATACCGTACTATGGAAATACTTGATTACAGGTAAAAGTCCTGCATTCAAAATTTCCCTGAAGTAAAAGTACAAAAGTATTATTTGCTAAATAAAAACGAGGGTGATACCGTTACATTACTGGACCATTATTATTAATGCATTAACATGTAAAATGTTACAGCTGGTTGAGGTGGAGCTGATTTGAAATGCTTTAAATACTTGGTAGGTAGTTAACTCTATTACGATAAATGATAAATTGATAAATAACCTGTATAATCCTATCCAACGAACACATTTGGAATTGAAGGATGGTGTATATGATGTATTTGAGCTCATCTTACAAGCCTGTGGTGGGACATCAGACAATAAGGTAGTGCAGGGAAATACTGATACAAACAAACTAAACATAGAATTAGGGTAACATGTATGGCCAACGTGCAGCGTTTAATAAAGTGGTGGTAGAAGCAGTGGATCTACAGTATAATCGGGTCATTTTCTCCCATCTTTTCCCTGCTGTGTTTTATTATGTATCCATTATTATACTGTCACAATCATCTTCTAGCATCTGCAGATTTCCCCATAACCCCACCAGGTTAGCTGTCTCTGAGCAGAGCAGAGAGAGAGAACGGGGATAAAGGGAGAAGACAGAGGAAGAACTGGGCTCATGCAGAACAGAGCCCTTTAATGTGTTTTTTTAAAGGCTTTCCAGAGTCGTTCAGTAGGAATGCGTGTTCAGGCCAATACATCAATATGTGGAGAAATGCAGGGGACTTTTACAGTTTGAGATTTTCTTCTTCTTCGGCCTTAATCTTTTCTCCCTTTTCATTTTCTTTTTATCTTGAAAGTGCCCATCCTTTGCTTCTTGTGTCAGAACTTGGCTGTGAGGCAAAGGCCTGTATAGAGGTCAGCTACTGTATGTTTGTGTGGGTGCCTGCATGTACTGTAGATTTGTGTGTGAGTGTGAGTGTGAGCGTGAGCGTGTGTGTGTGTGAGAGAGAGAGAGAGAGAGAGAGAGAAAGATGTGTGTGTGAGAGAGGCGATTCAAATGACTCCGGTTAGACAGAGAGGCAATTCAAACCCCTCAGTGGGAGTAGAGACACAGAGGAGATCGCTGGACATCTGCAACTGTTTCGCAGGAAGCCGCGATGTAGTCGACCCTCATTTCCTTTTTCATGTATTCAGACATGCACAAACACACATACACAAACTCAACAAATCAAAAATGATACACACCCCCTTCAGAAATTTCACATGCACAAAGCGGGCACAGGGGACAAGTGGCTATTGAATATTAACCATGAAATTACAAAGGCTGCATTCTAATGGAGGTGAAGAGGTCAGAAGCTGGGATGGAAATCATAAATTAATACCCCTGACATGACAAGCCACTCGCCCTTGGCTCTCACCAAACACAGCTCTACCCTCCTCCACTGAATTCACAAAGACACCTAGGAAATACTTGATTTTTTTTATTAATTTTGGGTCAAAGGAATGCCACAACAGACACAAAAACTCATACAATATGCCTAATACATTTTAGATTTGACTATTATATGAGGCAATAACCATGTAACCTTCATGTGTGGCTACATCTATAGGGTTTATTGTTAAAGTGTTCTCAAGGGACCTCTGATACAATTTCAACTATTTTGCATCCTTTGCAATCCATTCAAATCTGCTCCTTTCATATCAACGCTTTGGCAATGTAATTTGTCATGATTCTGAATGGTAATTATGGTACAAATGCAGTGCTTGGTTGCTGATGTGTGAGAGTTTGACTTTGCCAGACACAGAGAAAAGAACATAATGTTCGACTGCAAACTTCAAAATGTTTCTACTACCCAGCGGCCCTCAAACAATGGCCTTCAGATGAACTCAGTGCTCAAGCACACATGAAACTCATGAAAACACATTCATTTGTCTGAAAGTTGATGATGTAATTGATTTATAATATCATGTACATGAAAGTGCTATGGTGAAACAACACACAAAAAATGATTCAATGTTACACAAAACTCAACATGGTGAACCAAATATGTTGTCTCTTCTCAAGCTCTACAAATTAATTCTGTCACAAAAAAAAGTTCTCTTTCTAAAATACAGCTCAAGTCTTTCAAAGTCATCCAACCAGAAGAAATCTGCGGAGAGGGAGGACATTTTTCTGAAGTGTAGTTCTTAAATCTTCATATGGAGCAATGAAGCATAAAATGAACTTTGTTTTCAATCTATCCTAAATCACACAGCATCATCTTTTCGCTCAGGGAGACCATCATCTGTTTCTGCACACAGTTATGCACGTAGAGTATTTTGGAAGTTTGTTACAATTTGATTTATATATAAGGTTCAAAGTTATAGTTTTTCGCAAGTTTGCACAGTACATCAAGAGAAGCTTACACTGGTTTCACATAGAGAGACGCACAACATTCCAGCTCTTATTCTGGAGTAACGTGTATTCATATGACACCTTAAAACATTCAACACCAACATTTAGTCTCACATGCTTTGCACAGACACTTAACCACAGTTATTTGAATAAGACTTTGGTAAGAAATTGCGCCATAACTTAATTGGCCATTAAAACATTCAAAAGTAGTCTGAGTAGTCTGAGCAGCAACTCCGACAAGGTATTGAATATCCAATCAAAAGGAAGAATCTTGTTCAATTCAAGTCAAAGAACCTTCCAGTGAAAATCAACTTAACTCTCTTTATTTATTGCATAAACCACATCCTGTC